TGCTATCTTTGTGGGGACTCTCCATAGGCGTAATGGTTTTTCTACTGTACAGACCGTATTTTCTATTGCCCTACACCAACCCTACCCCTAAACCTACCCCTCACAGGAAACTTTCTGCATTTTTAGATTTTCAAAAAACTTCATTCTGTGTGATTTATTAGCTTGTTTACCCGTGGGGACCTCAATTTAGGTCCCCACCGTGACACGAGTCCCCACGAGTCTGTGTGTATATTCAGGTTTAAGTCCCCACCAGAATAGAAAAACAGGTACACACACACACACACACAGAACACACACACACACACAATTAGTTCTAATAAATAGCAAATTTATTCTAATTAGCATTTTCTGTAATATTTTCATTTGCATATAGTACACAGTCATTACAGAAAAATGTGAACATGTGAAAATGTTTTGTGACAGTTCATCCAACTATGAAAATAATGTATATTGGTTTATTTACATAAAAAAAAATCAAAAAGTTACTTTTCCCCAATTATTTAATTATATTAAAAAAGGTGAAAAAAGGTGACGGCTAATTTTTGGTACTACATGGCTATGTATTTCCATGAAAATTTAGGTTGCTTACAAACTTTTGTACATCTACAGCCTTTTAACAATCACAGAATAGCTTAATTCCCTCTTTTTCCTCACACTTGCACAAAACTGTATAATGACTTTAACGAGGCAGAAGAATACAAGAGGTTCAGAAGAATAAATTATGTATGGAATGACAAAAGGCTTTTCCAATTTTGCGAACACTCAAGACAACAGTGACTCAAAACTTGTTTAAGATTTGGTTTTATCTGTCAGGTGACCTTTTCTCTAGACTGCACAGCTCTATTCTACTGAAGACAGAATCCATAAATCCTACGGTGACTATTCATTCATGATATACAGCCACCTCTAAAACAGTCTGGCCAAGAAGTAAAGTATTGACATGTAAAATTGAGCGTGAAGTTTCATTGCTCGCCAATTGCTATTCTTCCTATGTCAAAGTGACGCACTCCAAGTTTTTTCAATGCGATGGTCTGATCTGTAGCTGCCAGCTGTGCTCTCTGAGACGCTCATACAGAGTTGTGTCTCTCTAAACAAACTCTAGTAAAATCCCAGAGGAACGACTGAACTATTTACAGCAGTCTTTAAAGATACAAACAGAAAAGAGCCATGATTCCCTTGACAGCCAATTGTGAATAAAGAAGCTTTCTGTGGCTCGAACTAACATCAAATGCAAATGAGCTAGATTTCTCAGGTGGCAGATGGTGCTTTCAAAACACTGCTAAAATTCCAGATTAACACCAGCTCCAAAAATAAATGATCTATGACAAACTTTGTGTAAGTTTATGCATGATCAAGGCCCCTCATTGTGATGGTCAATAATAGCTGAAGATGCAAATGACTAAGCTATGTGGACTTAATGAAATACAGTGGGGTCCAAAAGTCTAAATTTTGTCCCTAATGTAATACAATATTTGTTATTACAAATTGTATTGTATTGTATCAATCTGAGTAAAAGTCTTATTTGGTTTCTCCCTCTTCTGCTTTAATGGCAGAAGGACTCGAACTGCAGGAACTCTACAAGTTTCATGATGATCATTTATACAGCATGATTTGAAAATGATCGAAAGAACAGCTTGAGCTTCAATGGAAGAACACTACCTTAACAAAAGTGCACTTACTTGTAATAGTTTAAAGGAATAGGAAAATTTCCTGAAAATGTACTCACCCTCAGGCCATCCAAGAGTTTGTTTCTTCATCAGAACAGATTTGGAGAAATTTAGCATTACATCACTTTCACTTTCATCACATTCCTCTGCAGTGAATGGGTGCTGTCAATATGAGAGTCCAAACAGCTGATAAAAACATCACAATAATCCACAAGTAATGTAAGTAATAAACATCCATCACTAACATGTTTTTTTTTCAAACCGTTGCTAAAATATGAGTGCTCTATCCATAATATTGCATTCTAGAGTGAAAAGTCATCTTGTCTGAATCAGGAGAGAAATATGCACAGATCAAGCACCTACAAGCAAAAACCATCCAAAATAGTTCTAAACTGTCCGTAAATGTTTTTGTGAGAAGACAACAGTGGTGGACTTTTTTCACTGGAGGAAGTGTTATGGACTGCTATTTTGTCCAGAAGCGACAATTTCAATTTAAAAACGTCTTGATGGGTTTGTTTATTATAAACAGCTTCACAAGACGTTAATTGAGTAGTGTGGATTACTTGTGGATTATTGTGATGTTTTTATCAGCTGTTTGGACTCTCATTCTGACGGCACCCATTCACTGCAGTGGAGTGATGTAATGCTAAATTTCTCCAAATCTGTTCTGATGAAACTCATCTACATCTTGGATGGCCTGAGGGTGAGTACATTTTTATTTTTGGGTGACATATTACTTTAAGTACACATCTGATTTCTGATCAAGAAATAGTTCAGAGTATTAAATATTTATAATTCATCTACATGTATTCAATTGATAGATGGTTTTATCCAAAATGACTGTACATTTACTGTACATCAGAGTTGTTTTAAATAAAAAGAACTTTATTTCCAGGTTTAGATTTAGATTTCAAATTCCAGATATTCAAAGAATTCTAAGACTTTCAAGATATCAAGATAAAAATAAAATAGAGCTGACAGAAACTAAAATCTATTTTAGTTTCTGAAAGACATATATGCTCTCCACAAAGAAATAATCTCCTGGGATCCACAACAGAAAAAATTAAATAATTCTACTACGTATTGACCTTTAAACAATGGTGTGCATCTCTTGCACAAACCGTCATTCAGCTTCAGCTGTCCTTTAACTTAAAGCATCATGCTGTTGAAGAAAAAAAAAAAGGTTGGAAAAAAATAGAAAGATGGCACTTTTCCCTGACTTTCTGTGTGTTTAGAAAATCACTCTACTAAGTCAATAGGACCTGGAAAATGAAATTAGGCCATTATGCACCTGGTTACCATGGCAATAACAAGACCAAGTGATCCCTTAGTGTCTATCAAGTACTTTACGTGTGGCCTCATTGACTCGTGCATTCTGATAACCCTCATTCCTGCAACAGATCTGCTGTTTTCATAAGGTTTTATGAATTTGCTCAGAACATGAATATTCCAAAACCCTTATTTTATCTAGTTGCATTAGTGATTCTTTTTCCTTTCATAGGTTACAATTTCTGCCACCTTAGGCAGGTTTATTTGTCCTCTCAAAGACAAACAATGCAGATTGCTCATTCATCTGCATCAGTATATAATTAGCTTATTCTGAGCGGAGGTCTTGTTTGCCATGCCAAATGCCCATAAGGACCGGTATAATTTTGTAAATGCAGACTATACAAAACAAGGGATTAATCCAGAATATAACACAATAAAATTGATTTATATTATCTCTCTTGAGATATGTAAGCCTGTCTGGGGTTTGAATTTTAATTGTGTAATCAACTGTAACTGGCAACTAAATTGACTTTTTGACTAATCATTTGATTTAGTTAGGTAGTAGAGCTTCGGTAAATGTGCTCACAATTCCCAGAATTACTCACTAAATGCCTACAGAAAACATTGTACGACAGATGAACAAATTCACAAACCACAAAAAGAAGAAGAAGAAGAAAAAACGCCTTTAATGAACTTATTCCACCTAATCCACTATTTTGGGATAAAAATTAGGCTGAGGTGGGAGAAGTTATATTAGCAAGTGTTTGCATATATCATTTCATATTAAATATGCTATAATCTCTAAATACATGATTATAAACACCATGCAATATGACGAAAGTGTCAACTTTGACAACTGTATGAACAACCTGTGCTGATGCAATCATATATTCACATATTTTAATCCAGTTTAATTTATTTTATATATGTTTTGATCCAGTTTTAATTACTTAATTCTGACAGTTTTACATCCATGTTATTAAAATGCTACTATCACCAAACCCAGAGCCTACACAGAGATGATTAGGTGAAAATAAATTCACCAGACACATCCTTTCAGCACTCTCCACTGATTTTATATACCAACTTCCAAAATCTTGGAAGATTTTAAAATATCAACACCAATATATCAATAAACAGGCCCACTGTGCCTCTGTTTACCTTTCCTTAACTGCAGTTCATAGGGTTGCTGTGCTGTTGCTTTTTGGTTGGTGTTCCAACTCTGAGTCCAACTTTGCACTCCCATTGAAAGTCGCTGCATCACGTTTCTTCTCATTTGCATAAAGTTGATTTCTGCTCAACTTTCATCACTATGGTGTCTGTCACTCGTGTCGCTGGAATTCACCAACTGTTATTGAAAATATACTATCAAGTCGCTTTGTCGCTGCCAAACACAGTGTGAACGCTCATTGAACGTCACTCCAAATTTATAATGTTGCAGCGTGAAATTAAATCACTGAACCCCCCTCAAGAAAGCCGAAACAAAAGCAGGGGGCGTGGGGTCTTATTAAAATATATATTTTTAAATACAATCCTATAGGTTTCATACATTTTAGCATAGATAAAAAGTGTTACCCTACCAACAGCTTTCCATTTCAGTTCAGTTGCAACCTATTTTTTATTTGTATTTATTTATTTATTTATTTTTTATTAGTCGATTCCCTTTAAAGGCATAAAGGCGTGCAACATGTTCTTTATGTGAGAATTACAGGACTTGATATCGATGGGCACATCTCTCTCTCTCTCTCTCTCTCTCTCTCTCTCTCTCAATCCTTTTGTTGCCCATACTTGGGTCTCTCCCCTCCTCCCTCTCATCATTACGCATTCAGTCTCACTCAGCGCTCTGTTCAAGCGCTGCTCATTGCGCTCCAGACGCTCCACGCACCAGAGTGCGCAAGACCGCTGGTGTTTAGGATAGGCTAAAATAGTAGACAAAACACAGTAGTGTTTATTGCAATGCCACACTTGGAACGATAGAAATCTCCACATATATATATTCGAACACTTGCTTTACATAAACCAACCGTGGCGCTCAAGTATCCTCAAAAATGAGCATCAACTCGAATGGCGGTGATGTTCTTGATGGAGATATGCGTCCTGACACTTCATGACAAAAGATACCCAACTCTATTTTTCAGCGTCCGATTAGCCGTGGCAAAGAAGAGGAGAGAAGAGCGCAGGATGAAAAGAACTGGCTTACTACTGGGTTACTTTTTGATGAAAGTTCTTGTGTGCGACGCGGAAGGAGAGCCTGGGAAAAACCTGGATGGTTTGGTGACGGCGTCCGGGTCCAACGACTCCAGAGACGGGGAAAGCGGTCTCTCTGAGACCCCTCACACGGAGGACAGGTGTCGGGGCTATTATGATGTGATGGGTCAGTGGGATCCTCCGTTCGTGTGCCGGACGGGTAGCTACCTGTACTGTTGCGGGACCTGTGGCTTCAGGTTCTGCTGCGAGTTTAAGAACTCCAGATTAGATCAGACCACCTGCAAAAACTACGACACCCCGCCGTGGTCCATGACAGGCAGGCCACCGCCGAAGATGATGGACCAACACGATCCGACTAAGGATAAAACAAATTTGATTGTGTATATCATATGTGGAGTAGTTGCTATCATGGCGCTGGTTGGGATATTCACCAAACTTGGCTTGGAGAAGGCGCATCGACCTCACAGAGAGAACATGTCGAGGTAAGTGACTTGTGTTTACAAGTTCAAGTTCAAACGCTGTTGTAAATTGTCTGCGTGATTGTTGTGGAGCTGATTTTATCCCATAGGAATGAAAGAAATTGGGATTTAAAAAAAAAACTTCCAAAACCAAATATATATGCTATTTTACATATCTATATGTATATGTAATTGTGTCTATTTTTATTTATCCTTTCTAGAAGTTGTTGTAAATTGTAGAGATGAGCAGTTTATTCCACAGGGAATAAAACGATACAAATGAGATCTCCTTAATATCTCAGTATGTGTTTCTTGTAGACAACAATGTGATGAACAATGTGATTAAACAGAAAGCAAATGGAGATGTTTACTTAAGTCGTTTGCATGTTTCCACTCCAGAGTTTCAGAAATTATCTTACAATGTCACAAACAGTCCTTCAGTTTGCAAGATACCTAAAGTCTGCATTCAAATGTTTCATTATGGACTCAAATACTTGTCATGACAGCCTTCCTGAAAAATCTGAGATATGCTGTTTGCATTGATTTAGCTGTAAAATCTCACTATATAGGTCAATAATGACCTCATTTGTATCTATTTTTATTCCGTCTTAATGAGATTTGTTTATTTTGTTTCGTTTACATTGATATCAATATGAAATAGAAATGAGAATGCTTCCAATCAACGAGCTATCAACGAGCAACCTCAAAACAAGACAGTTTTCCTCTGGGATGTCATTCAGCATAGCTCAAGGCTTTCAAGGATTACACTGACACAACTCTATCACCATGACCTTGTGCTAGTTTTTCTAACTTCTACTGGCTTCATTTTCCTGTCTATCTATTTATCACTCAGGCAGTCTACAACACTGACATGTAGCCAACAGAAGCACAGAATATGCTCCTTTAGTTTCACAGACAGGTATTTATTTGAGGTTCAAGGTTTAGTAGGCCTATTTAAGTGGTGGAATGTACAAAGTAGCTTTTTTTCTTTCTTTCAATAAAAACTAAAGACCAGACATGTTTTCCCCTGAAGACTCTGGATAAATTGCAGATAATCAGAGGGAGCTGAAAGCAGATGTACTACAAAAAAACAAACAAACAAAAAAACTGACTAGCATTCAGGTCTAATTCATCTGTTGATCAGCAGTGTTTTAAACATTCATCAGCATCTCCGTAAGTCTCTAATTATCTCCATGGTGAAGCACATATTTTGTCTATAAAAGCTTCTACTCCAAACAAACGAACGTTCACGTACGCTCACTCATCTAAACATCGGTAGAGAGGTGTCCATGACATTAATAGGATAATGGACACTGATCTGTGTCTAATGACGCTAATATTTCAAGGACATTCTGTTTGTGCACTGACCTTTCACTCTATTTAGACTAACCCGTACACACAATCAAAACTCATATGTGCCATAGTGTCCCACCCACCACCCACAACCAGCTATTTACACCCTTTTAATATAGTGCCTTTTGAATATTCCACCATGCTGACCATTTTAATGATTTTCATGATAGTTTAATGCAGTGGTTCTCAACCTATTTTTCCACCGGGCCGCACTATGGTCCAAGTGCAAGTCTCGCGGGCCGCACGCATATCATTTACATATTAGGTCAGCAATACAAACCAACCTGATTTATAATATTATAGCCTAAATATTATGATATTTAATCGATTGCATTCATTGAAATAAATAAATAATTCTACTCCCCATAAATAACACCCAATTGTGTGAACTTCGGCTCGAAAGGAGTAACAGCACAATCATAGGCGGAGTTTCACTTTTATGCG